TCTGTCCCCAGAGTCCTGGTGACACACGCCCTTCCCCGTCCGTTCTCCAGGAATCAGCCGCGGCGCAGGAGATCACCGCTGGAGAGGCGCCCGCTCTCCTGCTTCGAGGACGGCGGAGAGCGGTCGCGCGAGGATGTCCTTAGGTGCGTCCGTCCGAGGATTGATCGGCTGCCTCGGTTGGGCGTGTACGCGCTATCGCCCGATGCGAGCGAACGCGACGGAAATATAGATCCGTGGCCCCGGCGAACATCCCGATTCCGCACATCGCGTAAACCGCGTTAGTTTCGCGCTGAGCACACACCGAGTTGTGTTACGTCTTTGACTTGGGAAAAGCAATGATCAACATCCCTTACGCGATTCGTAATCATCATCGTTCGTGCTCTCTATTAGTCCAGCTTTACAGGATTCTATATTGATTTTGTAAATACCTACTGTTTTCTCAGTTACATGCGTTATAAAGGAAATCTTTTTGATCGCAGCTACTACAAAAAATAGATAACCACATTGAGAAACAGATATATTAATATATTATATATATTAAACAGATATTGATATATATATTATATTATATGTAATTGAGTTTAAGCAATTGAAGAAAAATAGAAATGCTAAAAGAAATAAATTTACGAAATATAAGCAGCAGTTAATTTTTTCGTGTTTCTATTCTTCAATTATATGTGTATTATAATATTGTGTAATAAAAATTTTGTATTATTCTTGTTATAATTTTGCTTTGCTTAAATTACAATTAAAAACTTGTCAACGTTTTTCATCCGATTTAGATTTAGGTGATTGTTACGATTAACGAAAATGCAAACATAAAAGGAGTAACGATTGCTGCGATCGATATGTACACGCAATCGACTTGTACGCTTGTTTTTCTTCGTACCGCCCCGACCAGAGCAGGCCGTCTCTGCCTAAACTGTCGATCGAACAGCTGGGAAGCGCGGCCCGATTGCGTAACGGGGACTATATTCGCCCGGTCGTAAAACATAATCGCTTCGCCATGCATGATGCATGGGGCTCGACGCGGCCGCGTAGATATGTAGCATTATCTCGCAGTAACTGATAGTCTGGATAAATTGCGGATGTCACTGGTGATTTTTAGATCCCGATACGTCCGTTAAGATCGTAAAATCGCCAAGTCCGACGATGATCGCGTGGCGTATCTAACGTCTGACGTAACAACCGCTTCTTGCAGCAAACGTCAAAACAAGTCCGTATCTACGCTCGCGCGTAGAATCGCCTTATCGAACCGTCAACTCGATCTATCACACATATACGCATATATCAATCTTTTGTTGCTCGCGATATCAATAGTCTCACTATTGCTACAGATTCTCTCTCTCAAATTTAAGGGGAGTTTATATCGTATATTTATCACAGGACATTCTTTTATAGATTTATGTTATGTTGCACCTTAGCATTTTTTACAAAACTTATGTCTAAGATTTAAAATATAATTTTTTTTTTCATTTTCAGCAAGCAAATTGAGGACTTCTTCAGCCGCATTTTACATTATTATGAAGCCAGATATCGTATTGTCCAGTTTGATTACTAATACGATAGCGAGCACCAGGATGCGAGGTTCATTCCTATTCGCTCGGTATAATTAAACACGCGCTCGACTAGCCGCTCGGGCCGATCCTTATCGTCGCGTTGCCACGATAACACGCGCGCTCTTGACAGTCCATCCGGCGGAAAGGTCGCGAGACGAGCGAACAGGCAAAGCGAAGGCAACGACGGCTTTGTCTCGTTATGCCGGCAGGCAGCAGCGGGATTCGTCCGACGGGGAGGAGAGCGAGAAGTCAGCGAGGATGATCTGAACGCGGCCCAAGCTTGAAGATGGAGGCACGATAACGACGACGGAAATTGAATTCTCTCACCAGTCATCCCGCTGCGAAGAGAGTGCATGCACACACGCATCGATTCGCCCCGCGAGTCGTATCGACGGGCTACGCGTCGAGAGAAAGAGCGGGAGAAGGAGGGTAAAGGGCGGCAGCGAGCGACGGGAGGAAAGCGAGAGAGAGAGAAAGAGAGAGAGAGGGAGAAAAGGGGGAATCCACGGGTTCCGTCCTTCCTGCTCCTTTTGTCTCGGCTACACGGTGTACGGATGGGTGCACGTAGGCTACCTCGAAAGGCGAAGCCCGCAACGGCCGCTCTACGTACCTGCGGCATCAGCGCGGCAGCGCCGTCGTTTTACCTGCCACACGAGACAAAACACGGAGGCGTCTGTAAAAAGCCTCGTTTTCCGCGAGGAAGAACTCTATCCACGTGACGGTTATGAGCTAAGGAATCGATGTGAGAAAATGCGCGTTCTGGGATGTTAAAGGTGGATCACGATGATCGCGGAATATCTTGTTACGGGTCACGTCTTAATATTATTGCGATTCGCGCAAATGGAGAGTTCGCGCGTTGACGACAAACATCTGCTGCAATAACTTGATAATTTTTTAAATAATTTTGAACATTGTTAATTATATATATATATATTTTTTTTATTATATGTAAAGCTCGGCCAGATGGAGAATTTGCTCATCGATAATTTGACACATTTGCAATAATAATAATAATTTATCAATTTTTTTAGCGATTTTAATTATTATTAATTAAATGTACAATATCTCCTTTTCTTTATATTATATTCAAGATGTAAGATATGCAGAAATAAAAAATAAAAAAAAAAGAATGCTCTAATGTTCATTCACATCATAAAGTGCATTTCTTTAGAGCGCGGTATATAACTAGTACCCGTATGTTCATTACATGAAAACTATATATGCTAGGGTCTATTTATAAGATTCTCGAGGATATACTTTGTTTCGTTGCTTTCAGATTCCTGATATCGTCGTATCGATCCACGTCACTGTCGACTCTACTCGACGTCCAGCAGAAAAACCGCGCGCCATTCGTCTAATCATGCTTATCTCTAATTATACATACCTAAATGTTGCAAAAATATTACATGCTTTTATTTTATTCTTTTTTATAAATATGCAATTTTTAAAACCTCCCTTTGCTGTTGTCCGCCGAAATCTTTTGCAACAAAATTGCAGCAACATTTCTTTGCCTCGATTAATTGTTAATTGTGTAATGTCGCTATCTTTAAGCCCGCACATGATCAATGCCGGCGTGCTTTATTGTCTCCGTGCATACTCGTGTGTATACCGCCGACGGTCTGGTTAGTAAAATCGTACCTAGGAGCATGTCCAATCGACATTACGATAATTTATGGCTTAAATAAATGCCCGATCGGTGTTCGAGCGTGTACAGGTATCAATTTACATGACGCAACGGATATGTAACCTGATATATCGTGTGGCGGCGGTACAGGCGGACCCGCGCCCGATGGTTCTCATCGCAACTACCGGCGCGAGTAATATAAAGTAGCGACGCGAAAAAAGGATTGATCGGACGAGGTAAGGGTGCGCGGAAACTGACCTCGGCAACCCCGCGGACAATAAATCTATCGATACGTTGGACTGGATTAGCGCGAATCATTGCGAGCAAACGAGTTATACGCTGCGTTAACGTTATATAACGAATGTATGCTCCGAAATACGAGATTCGCGGATAACCGAGTTTGCAACGCAATTTTGCACTGATTCGTCCTGAACTTCGATGATGAACCCTATACCTGAACTAGTGTAATCAGCCGTCTCGGTTACGAGATTCGCGTATTCCCGCGTTTAATTGAATAAAATATATTTTCGAGATCATGCCGACTGCTCCGATTTTTTTAACCCGTTTCCTGCAATATTATTAACATATATCGTCATCAATTTGTAGCGTATAATTACGTCAGCATATAATCAAAGTAATTTTCGTGCTTTTGATCATTGCAGTTATTTCGTCAATCGATTAACTCTTGAACAATTTAAATGCGGCGTGTAAAAATATAATCATTTTTAAACCAGATTCAAATTAAACAGTGCTGATCTCATTTCAGTACGTTTGAATAATTTCGTGACTGTGTGCCGCCCTAAAAGCTACGATTCCGAGAGCCATTTTTTTTCTTTTTGACAGCGTTCCGGTTTTGATATCCCTCGGTCTAGCCACCCCGATCCTCGAACTCGTTATGCTCGGGACATGAAGTACGAAAATACGATTCGACCAGCAGCGAGCGACGCTCTCGGCGGGATTTGCGAGAGCGCGAGGGACCCGACGATCTCACAAAAGGTGAACCCACTTCGTGGGTCTGTCGGTCGGTCGGCAGCGACGGCGGCGGCGTTGGCGGCGGCGGCGGCGGCGGCGGCGGGTGTATGCTCGCGGAAGGCGGGAGGCGGCCAGAGTAGTCTGTAGGTAGGTAGAGATATATCCCAACTCGGCTGTGCTCGGGCAGCCTCGTGCGTTTTCGCTGACTGGTGGTGGCCGCTGCACGCCGCGCACCTCCGCCAAGAGTTTCACGCTGCGTGGAACGAAACTCGTACGTACGCGATCAGCTCGACCGAGGCCGCCGGCCTTCCTTTGCGTATCGGGCCCCGCTGCGTGTTTCGCGCCGGCCGACAGCTTCTCTCGTCACCTGGTGATAATACCGTGCGACTGCTCGCGATTCGTAACGACGACAACGACGGCTACGACGACGGCTACGACGACGGTGGTGCGTTATACGGTGTCCTCGTGTGTGCCGGCGGACAGCGCACCGAACACACACGCGTCACACACATACCTACTCACACACGCGCCTGTCAGTAGCAGCGCGAAGGCGCGAAACCGTCCCAGTCCGGTACTTAACGTGGTTCCGCGCGGGAGAACCGCGATGCGTTCCCGAGGCAGTGTACCGTAAAGAGTTCTCGCGGTGACGACGACGGCGGCAGCGGTGGAGGCGGCGGCAGTAGCGGCAAGAAAACGCGCCAATCGCGCGTCCGGTGTTCGCGTGGTGCTTCACGCTCGGCGGTTTGTCGCAGAAGAGGAGAGGGAGGCGGTGGAAGCGGAGGAGGAGGAGGAGGTGGTGGAGAAGGAGGAGGTGGTGGACGAGCGAGGGTGGTAGCGGCGCGAGGGAGAGGAGGTGCGGGGGGGTCGCGCTAGAAATTGGAGCGTGCCGATCTGGGAGTGACACTTATTTTCGCTCTCCTTTTGCGATAGTGTCCCGCGATTACGGGAGAGGCAGTACCACTCGTCCCCCTCGTCGCCCGAGATTCGGCACGCCGACGAATGAGACGGTTGTCGGAAAGAGCCGTCGCCGGCAGCCAGGGCCAGGTAACGATCCGGCACGAGGGAAAATCAGAGAAGTAGGCGGAGCCTAAGGTCGGTGGACACACGTGACACGCGGAAACTGTCACGCCGCCCTTGCCCTCCACTCGTACTCCCCCCTCCACGCGACCGAAATACAGCGCGACCCACGTTTCCAACCGAACGTGTCCAACCGGACGACGCCCGTTCCGAGACGATTTGTGCGGCGTTTATGCCGTTTCCACGCGAAACACCGAGGGGTGTCTCGCACGATGTAGGATATTAAGCTGATCACGAATTCGCTCCGGGATTGCAAGTATGTGCGCACAACACGCTCCGAATGCACGCCTCGTGCCGCGACGCTGAGCAGAATTCTCGCACCCATGGACTATGCGATGCGATTCTCGCAACAGAATCACAGTGCCCCCATTCTCCGTTCCCTTCCCATCTGTGACAATTCAGCCTGAGTTATTTTAAAATTCGAACAACTTCCGCATCCGAATAATGCGCATCCGATTCCATTGCTATTCATGCACGACAGTGTCTTACGCTTTGCCTCTCTCGCGCAATCTCGCCACTAACCGACAGCCGACGACGATCGGTTTGCGATCGATTGACAACGATTCGCTATATTGCAGTTCGGCGTCCGTCCTATCAATTCGCAAGGCGATGACGCCGTCGTCCGAGGAGCGTGGCGTCGACGCGTGAATCGTCGAGGATGCAGCAAGCGAGTGTGGGCGGTTGCGACGAGGACTCAGACGCGACGAGTCCTCCAGCGAGATCGCCAGTGAATTTCGCGATCAAGAGCGAGCCTGTCGCGGACAGGAGCGACGGGGTGAGGGTTAAGGTCGAGATGCCCGAGCCCACGGAGGCCGGCGTCGAGGTCAAAGCCGAGCTGCGGGAAGATTATCAGCGGCAGCCGAGCAGCGACAGTTATCACTACAACGATAAGAAACCGACACACATCCCGGACGCTCCCGGATTGTGTCAGCCGCCGCATCAGGGATTTCGTCCTGTGGGATTACCCAGCTCTTTCGGATTTCCCCCCTTTTACGGACATCACCATCCGACCATGATGCCGGCGTCGTTCCTCGCCGGACGACCCTCCCAGGACGGACCGATCGGGAAGATAGGTGACGGTCACGAACAGTCGACACCTCACATCGATCGGCACGCCTACGGCAGGATGCCGCCGATCCCGAACGACGGCTTCCTGCAGGAGCATCATCATCGTTTCGACGCGGGCGACTTTCAACACGCCAACGCGACCGGAATGCCGCCGTACGCGGCATTCCGACCGTCCATGCGTTCGCCGTACGCTAATCATCAGAACAACAGCGTCTACAACAGAAGCAGCCACTATCATCCGGCCAGGCAGCGCAAGTGGAGCAGTGCTGCGTTCCGCGGACTGCATCCGCCGATGCCTGTGAGTTTGTTTTCTTTATTTCTTTCTGCTTGTCGAATAGAAAATGGGAAGTTTTTTTTTTTTCATTCTTAAAGAATATTTAACAAAAATTGTAGTCCTATTTCAAACAAGTTACATATAAATAAAATATTTTTAATCTAACGTTATTGTTTTAATATGAAGCCCAACTTTAAAATTTATACTTTAATATTTATAGAGAAGCTATTTATTCCTGTTTCTTGAAGATATATATGTTAATGATTGTTAAGTTACTCTCCTATCTGAATTCACAATCTCTCGTCATTGAAACATTTTTCCTATTTGACGGAAACTGAATAATACCTATTGAAAATATATTGCACGTTTCTCCTGAAATCGCGATAAGAGAAATCGCTCGACCGATGCATTAGTTATGTATTAGATTTTGCGGAGATTCCGAACGGTTTATGGCACCCATTGAAGGAACAATGCCTCTGTGACGAAAGCGAGAATATCACGTTCGCCGTGATCGCACGATCTCATTGAGACTCGATAAGATCGGTAATCGGAGAACGGAGATAGTATCGACGACGACGTAGGCGGCAACAGAAATTTTACTTTTCGCTCGCCGGCGCGTACGAGCCATCGCCAGGAGGAGCGTGAAATTTCCGAACACGCAAACAGTATGTTGCATCTTCTATTTCGTGCGAGCGACGCATTACTGTGTGCCTGATCATAAATCGTCGAAATTTCTTAATCTTCCATACGTCGTACATCAGACCGATCCATATATTACACCAACACATTCAGTATGAATGAAACAAGTTAAAACGTGTAATACTTTCTGTGAATTGTGAATTAACACGTATTAATGCACATAAAAACGCTTGAATCCAAATCTTGCTCGCTTTCTATCAGCTTTATCAAAATTTCAAACCTACTAATAAGAGAAAAAATTATGACCTAAGACTATTATGTAATAAAATAGAAACTACGTATATATATATATCGTTTGTTAAATTTTTATCACTAATAAATTTCAAATACTGATTATGAATTATAAAAACTGTACATTATATAAGTTGATTGTGTGTGTGTAAGCTATGGAATTATATTATTCTCGTATGGCTCAAGGAAGTGAATTTTATATCTTAAATGACTTTTATATAATAAAAAATAATTTGCTATTTTTTTCATTTGAATTGTTTAAAATCCCGACTTTGCACTGGATTTGTCTTGAAAATTCGGTCTTTAGAGTGGCAATATTTTCCCCGATTGAAAGTCACGTCGCTGAGAAAGTCATGGCATACAATGCGCAGAAAAAGGGTGCTTTCAAGAAAAAGTGTACGTCAAAGGGTAAGAAAGTGCTATGTAATATGGAATCTGCCACAATTAGCCCGTCACGCCTTGTTATCGTTGTACGATTCATAAAGAGCACCGTGGGGGTGCGCCGGCATTAACTCTTTTCAAGCCTATGATAGCCAATCGGCGTTACATCTGGCACATCCTATGTATATTGATATATTTATTCCAAAATTAATTTTAAAAATATTTTTAATAAAACCTCTAAAATCACATGTCAGAGTCGATATTTTTTCAGCCGTATTTTAATATTAAATAAATACCTGATTTTTTAATTTTATTTTGCTTGATGACGTATGTGTGAGAGCGCTATATAAAATAACAATGAAAGTTATTTACCCAAAATTAAAGCACAATAAAAATCTGCTTTGATGCAATTTTATTGCATTCTTAGTATTAGAACGGAAAAAAAAGTTAAAGGTGATATCTTACCAGCACTCACTTCCCACGATACGCTTTACTTCCGTAAGACATTGTACGGGACTTCAATTGAAATTGCCGTGCCGAAATGAAGGGTTAATGAAATCGGACGAGACGTCGCGATCGCCCGGCCAAAAATTGTGCCCCGGCCGAAATTACAGTGATTACACGTACCGCGGCCGCGTTTCTGCCCCTCAGGGGAGAACTCCGCGCACCCTCTCGTCGTCTCTCGAGAGGGCGATCCCTCCCCCTGTCCCCTTTTTTGGCTCTTGAAGTGATACCGGGCCTTACGGAGAGTTCAGCCGATTTATAAGCGGGAAACACGGGCGGCGATGGCGGATAGGTCGGCTCGCTTGACGATTACCGTAACGCCGCGCTCGTAAAACAGATGCGCGTGCTCGGCGTCCATTATGACGTAATCCGCCGCTTCTTATAATTTATCACCGGTCGGAAAGCGAGCGAGCCGGGAATAAATATCGTTCGAAATTTCAGTCGAGCGGCCGCATTAATTTACGGGGCGACGATTAGCTCGTCGAACTTGCCGATTTCGCCTCGCAATTTTCGACGAGAGCTGGGGATTAGCTAGCGTGCGCGTGCCACCTCGCTCGATTCTTTCGTTTTATGGCACTTTCGTCGCGTTTCCAAATTTATGACGCGAGAATGATTCAACTGGTGGCTTCGTGAAAACCGACAGATTTCGGACGTAACAGCCGATTCCGAATGGATTCGTGTTTCGTTTCTACTTGTTATTCGATTCGATGTATTTGTAAAAAAGACATGTGAAAGATCTAAAGAGTTTCTACGCGCGCACGACCTTATCGTACAACGATCGCGTGGATCGGCGTCGATCGCTTAGGCGTGACTCACTCACCGCGAGAAATCTATCGTTTGTACGCTCGCTGAAAGTATGAGAAATGCATTAGCTTTGGGTATAACGCGGTGAAAATGTTCGATGAGAAGTACCTGCTTGCCAGTCTTAATCTACACCCATATCTTACCATATCATTATCGTATTTTTTATGCATTTGTTTTCAACCTCGATATACATTTATTATATCAATCAATTTTTCCTGTTTATCGATTTTTGTTTGTGAACTGTTATATATAAAGATCGGCGAACTTTAGTCTTTTAATTAATTACAACTAAATTTATTTCAGCAGTAATTTAACTGAAAACATAATTATTACGCAGTATATTTAATAAAGGAGACTAATGTAAATTAAAAATTTGTAATAAATATTGTTTTGCTCCCAACAGTTCTGTCTTTTAATTCAATTTTATTATAAAATCTGTGACTATTTTCGATAAAACTCATAATCACGATAATTTATCTACGTAATGCATTCTTTTAAATTAAAATTTTGAAGATATTTGATTTTAATGATAATAAAACCACCTGCTTCCTGTATGGAGCTCTTCATTCTACTCTAATTGAATGCATCCGAATGTATCGTAATAAGACGATTCGCGGTGCTCCAGAAACGCATGTTCAGGTACTCTGTAATCGGCGTCATCGGCGATCGTTCCAAAACGGGGCGACCGGCTAGGTGCGACCGAACACGCACGAGTTATCGTCGCGCTCGCCGCATCCGGGCCGAAAGTGCTCCGCGGTCGCTGCAACTCTCATCTGCATACCGTTTCGTCCCGCATAACGACCGCGTTCATCTTCCGCTAGTACGCACCTGTATCGAGATAACGTTCCGTAACGTATGCCCGCAACAAATAAGGACATTGAATCGATGCCGATCCCTTCGGCTCCGTTTTCCTTTGCGCTCCCGATCTTACGACGCGAACACGCGGTGAGACCCGAGGGCGCGAATCAGTCTATAAATTTCGCGACCGGGAAGTCGTGCACCTGCGAGCTCGCAGTCAGCAAGATGATCGGTGTCGTGATAGCGTGGGACATTTCTCATTTTCTTTGCCGTTTGTCGCGTATTTCGATGCCGATTTATTTCTGAGAATACGATTTAATCTGACCTATTGTTTCTAGAAAAAAATTATTCTTTTTTAAATAATTAAATTATTAGAAAATAGTTAAATGAAGATAGTTAAATTATTATTATTATTATTATTATCGTTAATGATTGCAATGTCCAATGTATGTCATTTTTTTAATAATTACCATTATATTATATTATATAATATTATTATATTTTATTTGTTTCAACATCGAATCATGTAAACCTTAATTGTTGTATATTATCTATAAAATGATATCTATAATAACTAACAATCGTTTCATAATGGCATTTTTCCTTTATGTATAATATATGTTAATGCAGTCATCGGTCAATGCAATTATAGACAGTTTCATAATATTATATGCGAAGAAAAAACTAGTTTAATAAGTAGCCTGGATAAAATATTATCGAGTAATTTTCACTGGAATCACTTCTTACACATGCAAAAAAACTGCGTTATTCTACCTGCCACTGCGTGTGATGACATTATCAAGTAAACGTGTGTCTACACGTATAATCTAGAGTCACGTAATGTGTATTAGCCGACAAAATCACGAGAAATAAAAAAAAAATTAAATAATGATAAGAATAACGCTAAAATACGATGTAACGTTTGTCATGTTTAGATTTGCCGCGAATGCCTTTGTAGTGGTGAGATTCTTTTTGCTTCAATAACAAATATTTATCCAATTATTTTTGATGGATATGTAACTGATACAAAAAATTCTCTAACGTGTAGGCGATTATGTTTATATTCTACTATATAAATATTTATACAGTCATTTGTTACGAAGGGAAACATATAAAGCATAAAACCCGCTGCTGTGACACGTAAAATATTCTGCGTGTGGATATAAAAACTCGCGTAAGAAATCACGAAGAGCGGAGCATCCGCTCTCGCACGGGCTAGCTCATCCGTGACGTCGCGTGGCACACAGATGCAGATCGTGCAGTTTAAGCGACTGCGTTTTTGCGTTTGTCGTCGCATATTGATCGTTAAGTATAACCTGCCGACGCGTCTATACATCACTTAAACGCGAAACCGCGTCAATTTGCGAATAACGTCGCGCGACCGCGTTGCGGACGTAACATAAATGGAAATAAAAATGACCGGGCAGGGGCGCGGCGAAGGGCCCAATGTTGGGAAGTGGAACCGCGAGGAGAAGAAAGGAATACGTATGCACGCCTCCGTGTCGGAGGGGCCCCGCGGACGCCCCGAAGCGGTTCCGCTCGCCAGATGCGTGCGCGAGCCGGACACGCCGATGCGTTTTTCTACCTGAAGGGCGTCCAATTGAGCG